CGAGGAGGCTTTTCGGCGCAAGCTGCATCGTCTCCAGCTGGAGGCCATGAACCGCGGCAAAGGCATGGTGCACGGGGTGCACATGGAGCACATGCCGGCCGAGACCCCCGGCCTCCAGGACTCCTGGGAATGGGGAGGCTGCAGCCCCGACGTGGACTATGGGGAGAAGTTTTCCAAGGATTTCCTCGATTCCCGGGAAACCTACAGGGATATCCACTCTCGCATGAGGCTGCACAACAACCGTGTGGGCCGGCAGGTGAGTGGGGTGCTGGGCAGGGGGGCAGGGTGATGGTGGTAGGGGCGAGGTCCCCGGGATGCTTCCTCTGGCCGCTGTCACCTCCCTGTGCTGCAGCGGTGCTATGGGGTAGCACGGCAATGAGTCCAGCTCCCGCCTCGCAGGGACTGGTGTCAGGCAGGCGCAATGGGAGGGAGCTGCAGACAGGGAGACGGTCATCTGCATCATGGGAGCACAGCACAGGCTGCAGCGCCCAGCCGCAGCTCTGCCTCCGGAGCTGGTGCCCTGAGGAAGCAGATGTGAGCGGGGCTGAGTCTGGCAGCAGATGCCTGTGCCAGAAGGGAAGTGCAGCATCCCCTCAGGAGCAGAGGTGGCAGCCCACAGTCTTGTCCTCCGGTTCTGAGGGGGTGCAGGAGCCTGCCCAGGTGAGCAGGGCAGCTTCCCCTCCATTCTCATGATGTCAGGTCTCGTTAAAGGTGCTAATTAGTAGCTCGATCTGTCTGGAAGGTGGTGTTTAATAAGCAACCTGACATTGGAGACAAGCAGCACAGGGGCAGGAGGGGGCTGGGAAGTTGGCTGCTCTTCTCTGCCTAGCCTTGCTCCCAGTAGGTGCCGGGGAGACCCCATCCCATGGATCCTGCAGGACATTTGTCCGCAGACCCCAGCCACACTCTGTCAGGGGAATGTGTAGTGGTTGTGGGAATAAGTCATCGGAGATCAGCATTCCACAGGGAGCGTTTCTCCAGGAAGGCTCAGACATTTGGATGTGCTCTGAGCATGTTTAAAGGTAGCTGTAAGATGGGGATGCTGCAGAGCAGGACCTTGATGTGTGCCCTTCCCGGATGCTGGAGCTGAGCTTTGCTGCTGCCAAAAGCCATCCCAGTCTGGCCAAGCTGTAAATGCCAGTAGGGGAATGGCAGTGCTTTTTTCTCATTTGGCTTTGTTTGCTTGCTCATGGTTATAGCTTGCCCAGCATTAGGCAGCTAAATCACCTGCAGGCTGCTCTGCCCCAAGCCAGGCAAGACCCTCTCATCCCAATTCTGGCTGCAGAGCTCATCCTGAATGCCCTAGACAACCAGGACTCTTGGCAGTGTTCAGAAATGTGGGGTCTGTATTACCTGTTTCCTAAATGAAGCCCCACAGCCCCCTGCAGAAGGAGTGGAAGGTGAGAGAGGAATATTTGTGTGGAGGGGGATGTCACCATGTGGTGCATGTGGGTGCAAGCAACAGATTCCCAAGGGCAGGCAGGCATGGGACTGACCATATCAGCTCTTGCTAGCTTCTGAGACAAGAGCTGAACTGATGGAAGAAGCTGGGAGCTGGAAGCAGAGGCAGAGGTGGACCAAAGGGATAAAGGAGGGGATGACACCAAGGCAGGTGGGGAAGCAATGGCTGGACAGGCTGTCCAGCTCAGGGACTCTGCTGAGATGAGGGTGTGAGGTGACCCACGTGCAGGTTCGGTTGTGATGTTGCGGGTGCCATGCACTGGAGCAAGGAGATGATGCTGTGCCTCGGCTGTGCCTTTTGGTGACATGCTTATTGCTGGGGCCAGACTTGGCTGCCCACGTTGCCTGGGGAGGGTTTCTCCAGCTCCCCACCTGCTCTTTAAGCAACACTGTGGGTCTCACACTCACCCAAGTCCTACTCACTCCTGCGACCGTCTTTCTGCTGTAATAAGGACCAGCCTGCTGGGTTTTCCCAGGAAAGCAGTGGCTGTGCTGGGTGCAGCAGCTCGTGGTCCTCCCCTCCAAGTTCCAAGGCTTGAACCCCTTGAGCACAGCAGCAATGTGGACATGCACACCATGTGCCATGCCCTGCTATGTGCCATCCCTCTCTGTGCACCAAGCAGCTGCACCAGCCAGGGCTCTCCAGCATCCTACTGATGCTGAACATCTTCTCTATGGTTCCTGTGCATCCCAAGGGTGCTCTGTGCGTGGATAAGCCTGGCTCCTGGCTCAGACCCTGTGGTACCAGGGAAAGGTGACAATCCCACCAGTGATGATGTCTGTGGCCCTACAGGTGCACGTTTCTGTAGTGTAGTGGTTATCACGTTCGCCTGACACGCGGAAGGTCCCTGGTTCGAAACCAGGCAGAAACACACTCATTTTTTTTCCTTCTTCTGCATCCAGCTACAAAGCCAGGGAAGGGATTGCAGTTGCAGGGGATGTGCAGTACCCTCCAACAGTAGCAGTGGTCACTTTGGTCTTGAGCTGGGTGTCCTGAATTCCTCGGAGGGAACATAGGCAACAGGAGTGTGCAAGAGACTTTGCAGGTCCTCCTAACCTGCCAGATCAGAGAGCAAGAGAGGATGAAAGGCAGCCAGGAACTACCTATTACCTTCACAACAAAGAGCTACGATAAAGCTCTTATGAGTGTCTGGGAGGAGCTGGGAATGTGCGAAAGAAAGCACCAGCGAGTCTGGGCATGTGTCGATCCTGGGTGTCTGTGAGACGGGAGAAGGACGTGGCCGGGTAGGGGTGCGTGGAAGAGATCTGATGGTGAAAGCATGGGGTCGAGGTTCAGAGAGGTCCTTCTCGGGCCTCCCGGCTCTGGCAGGCTTCTGTCCCTGCTGCGCTGCCCAGGCAGGAGGGAGAGCAAGCTGTCCCTGCGCAAGCATAGATGGGTGCTGGAGTGCTGAGGCACTCGTGGGCATGGCTTGGGTGAATAAGATGGCACACACATACTGCCTTCTCCAGCCCCTGCTGTGACCAGCTGTAGCCCCAAATGAGCTCTTGTCCAGCTGTTATGCCACTGTCCCCTCCATCCTGGTGGTGACCATCCCAGCCACAACCCAGTATGCAGATTTTCCCTGGTGCAGCCAAGGGAGCAGGGAGGGGATGTGGAAAGGATGAGGTCTCAGTGTCAGTATGTTCCTGTGGATAGTGGCAAGGATGGTGGCGAGCAGCCAGTGTTCCCGGCCGGCACACCCAGGGCATGGTGGAGAGGCCGAGCAGCTCATTACCTGTGAGGTGGAGGTTGTTCCCGGCAGGAGACAGGACTCTCAGCAGGATGAAAGCCAAACTCCAGCCCAGCCCAGACCTCTCTGCAGTGTGCCCAGAGCTCCAGGTGTGTTTCCCTGACCTGCCTTCATTACCATAACTGCATAGCAACGGGGAGATTTACTCAAAAACAAGAAAACAAGGAGTAAAACCTCCCTACCCCCACCAAAACAAGGCACTCCTCACATGCACGTCCCTCCTAGGGAGGGGGCAGGACAGGCAGTGTGTGTGTGTTGGGTGTGTGAAGCCGGGTGGCTGAGCAGGGCTGGCATCGTGCGACAGGACCCTGCACAGGGCCACACATCCCCTGGGCTACTCCTGGGCCCTGGAGTGCAGCCCTGGGTGGAGGGAATTAGCCTGAGATAGTCTTTGTAAACCCAAATCCAGTTCCCAGGAACTATGGGAAGGAGACCTGCTGGAGCCCATGGAGCTTATGGGCATGGAAGCATGGGACAGAGCAGGGAATCTCTATTGGGACAGAGCAGAAGACAGTATAATCTGCCTCTTTCCTGGTTGTGTGGGGGTGTTCAACCACTCTGTGCCCTTGGAGACTGCTGGGCACCAGCTGTTTCCCTTGGCACAGCCACAGCAGCAGCCCTTGCAGGAGTGAGGGATCTAGGGGGACACAGCATGCAGCCCGGAGGCTCAACAGCTTTGCCCAGGGAACCCAAGGTCCTCCTTGCCCCTGCACTGGCTTCTGGCACCTGCACAAGCCACACTTCCCAGCCAGCCCAAACAACTGCTGCAGCCTGACCCACACACCCTGTCCCTCGCAGGGGGTGGATATGCGGCACTGGCCTCCCTGCAACCTCCCTGAACCACAAGTCAGGGCTGTGAGCATCTCCAATCCCTGCTTGAAATCCATGTGATGGTGGGAGGCAGCACCTCAGCCCCTGGTGCTGCACCCAGGGCTCCTGTGAGAAAGCAGGCAAGAGCCAAAAGCAGAGCTGCTTTGGGGATTCCTGGAGCTGGGGCTTTACAGGAGGAAAGCCCTGGGGAGGGGAAGGCATCCCTTCCTCCTGACCCACTTGCAGTACTCCTGGCTGGTGAGGGGTGCATGTGACCCCTGCACTGAGGAGTTCCTGGAGGATTGCAAAGATGCAACACCAGCTTTTAACTGGGGTCCGTGGTCAGGTTGGTGCTGCTGAAGCTAAGCAGCAGTGGAAGGCGAGATCCAGGCTCCTCCTCCCTGTGGTCAGGTAGCTCACCCTCTCCTTTAGGTGCTGATCCCTTGCTGGAGTGTCAAAGCCGGCTGGTGCTGCCAGGATGGGAAGGGACAGGCTGTAGTACATGGGTGACACTGGACACAGCAACAGACTTTGCAGGTCCAGAGCTCCGATGGCTGCTTCTGCCAGCCCTTTGTGTTCCCACAGTGCCAAACCACACAGAGCTCCGGTCCCATTAAAACACCTCCTCCGTGCTAACCCCTCTGTCCTTCTCCCCCCGCCCAGGTGGTGATGGACAACATGAGGAGGAAGTGCAAATGCCACGGCACTTCAGGGAGCTGCCAGTTGAAGACGTGCTGGCAGGTGACGCCCGAGTTTCGCCTGGTGGGGTCCCTGCTCAAGGACCGCTTCTATGGGGCCACCCTCATCCGGCCCCACAACCGCAACGCCGGGCAGCTGGAGCCGGGCCACGCTCGGCACCGCCGCCGGGCCGGCATCA